GTTAGACATCCTACTGCAGGTCTTGAAAATGTTATGGCTTTATCATGGCTGGCCCTACATATTCCCTTCTTGACAGTTCATCTCTTTCCATTTTTAACAAGCATCTTCACTTTTCGTTATCTTAAAATGAGCATAATGTTTATTAACAACTTTCCTGACAAGTTTATTGTACAGAATGCACTCCAAAGGCTCTATAATTGTTCCTCACTTACATACCGTTAATTATATTGCTGCTTTGCCAATTTCAAGGTTCACTGCTCCTCTGTATCTGCCTGTTATCTCAGTCCCCAACCACTGAAACTACCATTTGAGATTCCTTACCAAAAATTAGACGCAATTGGTGTAGCAGGCCATTAAATACTAAACAGCAACTGCATTTCAGGTTTTGTTCAGTTTGTTCTAAGCTAAATTTTTTTGTGATATGCTCTAATTGCAAACAATTGAAAATTGCAAATAATGAGCTGAGTAGACATATCACTAATCCCACCAAAAATCTATGACTTCATGAGCGCAAAGTCCCAATCAGTGGCTGACTCTTCAAGCTACTCAGCTCATGTTAACTAAGAAGAAACATGGAAGAAACACAATCTTTGAGTCAACTGTTGCCTTGGCAATTCCAAATCTTTGAGATTGCAAGACATTTCACTATCTGCAGAGGCAACAACATCCTAAGCATCAGGTGTTGGAAAAATGGAAAAAGACTATATATAGAAGTGTTATAAATATTCATCCATCCTATAACAGCTTATGAAAGAAATACTGAGAAACCAGAACTTGGAAATTTCTTAAATGTTAGTTAAATGGTCTAAAAAAAAAAGAGATAAAAATCCACTTTCAAGAGTAGAGCGAATCAAGTTGTACCAAGAAGACATTTTTCCTGAAGGCCATCTTGATTAGACTGACTTGCAAATAACTTGTGAGAAATGGAAACTCGCTGTCTCGTTAGTAACAGAAGGACAAATACCAAAGATAATGATTATATTCTGCTTTTATCTGGAAAAGGAAAAATGTATGTATATCTCCTCTGTAGACAAGCAGTCTAGTATGAAATGTTAACAAAAGGAAAGGTATTACAGAAGAGCACTTGACACCAACAGAAAAAAGTAGGCATCCAGTTGAGCCTAGGACCAACATGACCATTGTCAGAACATCTTTGTTGGTCATTTTGCTCCTAATCAAAATCAGAATCCTGCTTTCATCTCTTTCTGTAGCAGCAGTTTCTACTTGTGAAATACAACAACCTAGAAATGTCAGGAAAATTTCCTAAAATCTCTTTGGGGTTCTGAAATGCTGCATGAGAAAAGTCGGGGACAGGGAGCTAGTACAAGCTTCTCCGGAACTCCTGTTTTAATAATCTCTTTTCTCTCTGTAAGAGTTTCATCATCTTTTAGTATCTATAGCCCCAAAGCTTTCCTAACACCATAGAAACAGATCATACAATTAGACAGAAGAAAAAAATCCTTTTATACAAAGGAATAAGTAGAGTCTTCTACATAATGAAGTACTTACTGATTTGCTTTGGGTTATGCTGAAAAGGCCTACTTTGAGGCACTGAATTCTCACAGCCTCAGGTTTGTTTAGATGAAAGGAACACTTTCTGGCAGCTGCATGAGCAAATGAGTACCCAGTGATCCACCCTAATTTAGGTTATGTAAAACCTAGTGGGTGGAAGCCACACATGTGCTTTCCGAAGGCAATGCCTGGGTTACACTCCTGACGGTTGGCTTGGCTGCCAGCGTTTTTCTCCTTCCCACGTACCTGTTCTAGTAAAGCTCTGTTAAAGAAAAATTACTTCACGTCACAGGGCGTGACACAGTATAAATACTGGGCAATGACCTAAGGTGCCTCAAGTAATTGTGGCATTAATCCAGCTGTAGTCAAAATGTATTATTTTCATTGCGGGAGCTTTTTTGCCGTCATCAGCATAGCATACAAACATGGTACACTGTTTGAAGTGGAAAAGAATGTGATCATGGTATTTGGAAATAGATGGTAAGGACCTTTTTTACACAGTGCGACCATTGTGGTGGAGGTCCCTAAGCAAGCTCTAAGAGAACTGGCTTGCTTGCTCTAGGAAGAGCAGTGGCAAGCAGAGACTCCTAAACAAGCTCCAACCAGCCCGGCACTGGAATCAGAAGCAACAGACATGCGTGTAACTTGAGCTGTGCAATGGGGCTGTGTGTTGGGGAGCGGCAAGAGCAGGCGCTGCTCTGAGGGGCAGCGTGAGCCAGGAGCTGAGGGTGACAGGCAGGCAGGCAAGGGGGGAAACTTACTGACCAGGGGGCCGTCCCACAACACCCAAAAAGGACAAGCAAAGCAGGTCAACAGTGCAGGTCACCAGACAATGCCATGGTGGCGAGGCAGGTCTGAGGTCAAGTCAGGAAGCCAAGTCCGTAGGTCAGGATCAACAAGAGTACACAGCCAGATGCAAGTACAGGTGCAACACAGCTCAGGCAGGGACCAAGCACAAGAGCTTCAGCTTAAACGCAGCTGCCAAGAGATGGTGGCAGAGTGGGAGTGGCAGCTGGCTTCTTCCAGCCTTTTGTTGAATGACTGCAAGGTCAGCAGGCATTGAGGCCAGAAGTGCCTCAAAGCTAGATGTGTGCATTATCTAAGTTGCATTATCTAATTAAGCAGTCAAACCTCCAGGAGACAGGGGAATCCACCAAGGGCACTGACACTATCCCAGCCAAGAAGTGGTGGTGTGTTCTGCCATGCTGACATACCAGGCTGTTTCACTATGCTGAAACTGAAGCAGCTGTTGTGGTGGATTTGAAGTAAGAAAACAAAACTGGATTCAGCTCCTTGCTCCACTGAATTGTGAAAGAAGATCCCAAAGGAGAAAAAGCACTAGCTACATTGATCCTCTGCTCTGTGTAGATTCTGTCCTTCATTCAGAGTCCTATCAGCTGCAGTTTCATGACTCTGTCCTAAGTAATGGCAATTCTTACCAAAGATTACTATGTGTGAAAAAAATCCAAAGAATACCGATTGACAGGTGATGCTATACTACAATCCTTGCTACTCAGGATTGCTGGCAGTGCACCTACTCCAGCGTATCAAGCAAGAGCTGGAGGATGCTACGTACCTGCAGAGGAGGTACCTGGTAAGGAGACAATGTGTTTTAGTAGGACTGAGGGAGTTACTGTTGAGAGGGAGGTACAGCTGTCAGGAAAGGACAAGATTCCAGTGACAGTGTTTCCCATTTTACAGTGTTTCAGCAGAGCACTGCATGACTACTGAGAATAAGTTACAGACCTTCTGAAAGAGTCTTTCAGACAACCAGCAAGACAGTTTGACCACGGCTTAGAAGATCCGGACTTCAGTGCCAGCAACCAGTGAGAAACTGAAATATTTGCTGCAAGTCACTGAACTTGTGACTCAACTCTTACTCTCAACAAGGGAAGACCTGTAATGCGTGCCGTTATGAAAATGCTTTGACCTTCCCACATAATAGGCACTGTATGATCATTCTCAGATTCTGTGTTAAGTAATGATCTCTGGAAATAGACAACAAGGCAAAATATCAACCATCAAACAGCGAGAAGCACAGGGAGTCACAAGTACCTATCACAAACCACCACTTGCATTAGTTGGAAAAAACAGACCAGAACTGGGTGACGGCACCACATCACAGCAGGTCCTCCAGCTATGGAGTGCTGTTCACTGCTATGGTTTTAGAGAAGCTGTCTTTTTCTTGTTGCACATGTCAGCATTAGTTCTTTCCCCATTCCAGGCTAACCTCTCCCTGGACTACTGCCTCAATGTCATTCACTAGCATGCTCACACTGTACACTCTGCTGCCTTTGTCCTGCACCTTTGGAAACCTAGGTTGCACATACAAGTGAACTCCTCCTTTTCCCGTTTTTTATTTTCTTAAAAAACTAAGCATCACTCCTGAGGATTTTTATCTGTAGAAGAGAGATGGAGAAATGTTGATTATTTCAACTTTGATTTTCCAGGAGTGGTTCATTTGGGATTCCTGCTAAAGGCCAGTATAAGGATTTGCAGGGTTTAGTTCTGTTTTTTTTTAAACATTCTCTGAATCAGAAATCACTATTCATATGGAAGACAGTACATGATGACAATTGCTGGTACTCAGACAACAGATCTGATTTTACACATCCTTAAGGATGCTCAGCTACAGAGTGTAGTTGGAGAAGGATGCAAGTATCTGGGACTGGCTCTGAGTTCCATTACTTCTTTCTCATACTTCTGAAGGGAAAAGCCCCAAACTTTTCCAAAGTTGGGAAATGGGTTGAGTGATATTACCTTCCTCCACACTCCCACTTTGGCCCCTTGAACCAGAGAGGCCTGGTGACAAAAATCAGCACATGGTGGAGAAAGACATACTGAAGCAACATACCATTTAACTGCTTCACTGTAAGCAGTAGAAATACTTAAATCAATTATTTTGTTCATGTTCAGACCCCGGAACACTGGATGGCAGGACCCCTCACTTTGTCAAGTATTTACATCTTTAACAAAATTGTATTAATCTGCCTATGTACAAATAGAAGATTAATTTGTACCCACAGAAAATCCAACTCTCTGGTACAATGAAACAGCTACATCTATATACTCACAAAAGCAAAAGCTCCTTGTTATCTATTCACCACATTCGTGCATTCTGAGAACAGTGACTTTAGTTCTCATCTAAGTGCACTTACTTCTGGAATATCACAAAATCTCAGTAAAAGGCTTTGGACTGGAAGTAGTCCTCCACTTACACTTGCAGAGAAGTAAAACATCACAAAAAAGAATGCATCCCTGGAATCCTGTGGAACATACTTCAACTCAGTCAACATATGCTGCTGCAGGTCCCAAGATCACAACTGGATCTTTCACATGTTTAGAAGAGTCTGAGGAATAAGAGTTTTCATCAATAACCACTGTAGATGGTACTGTCCTTTCAGGGAAAGTCTCATTTTATATGGTTCTGTCACCCCACCAACTATGCTTTTGTTTTTAAATGTCAAAAAAATGTACAAACATAGATTTAGGCATAGATTATTATTATTTTTATTGCTCTTGTTAAAAAGTCAGTGTATGAATCATGGCACTATGCTGTAAAAATGCAACATTACTGAGTGCTCTAACAGTATGAGATTCATTATGACACGATTTTAAACATGAAGCATGAGCTTCAATATGGATTTCCAAATTAAAAAAACAAGCCTAAGAGGTAAATGGATTAATAATAATTGATTTATCTGGATTTTCAATACTAAGTGAATACAGAGTGGATTTGCAAGAACTGGACATATTTAAGACACAACAGAGTCAAACAAAGCTTCTAGAAGTTGAAGTAAATTCTCTCTTTCTTTTCACCTACATAGAGGTATTTGTACTGCACAGTAGATGGATGTTATAGCTCTCTGTTAAACTGCAATCACAATGTGTCAGGGGGAATTGCATAAGAAAAGGAAAAAGCAAAACAAAGCCTTTTCTACATTGACAGTCAGGGAAAAAAACCGTGCGCTTTGGAATTTTAAAAATAAAAACTTCAATTTAAGAACAAAAATAAAATAAAAATCACATCTTCTGGGTGAACATCCACCATAAGAAAACACTGATGCCTATTAACTCTGTGCTTGGGGACTCAACAACACTATGTCACTATTCCTAATTCTGAAGCAAACCCAAACAACTGGATATCCATGGATATTATTGCACTTGTAGCAGTGGTGCTTTAACTGGCCTGGAAACTACTTTCATTGTATTAAGGAAGAGCGAGAATCTTTTTAACATGTGTAACCTTACTTGAAAGATGCATCGTAAAAATAAGGATGTCCTAATTCAAACTGCCATGCTCTTTATAAAACAGGTTTTTTTCACACTCTGGCACATGAAGCTCCTGAAATGCCTCCACTACTTCAGAAAAAGTCTTAAAGAATGACATTTCCCAGAGGATGGGTGGGCACAAAGTACCAAATAAAGGGAAAAAAATGACAAAGAGCATTACTTTCCCCAAAAAAGGATGTCTTACATCACTCAGCAGATCAGAAATAAATAAGACAAAACTTGAAGAGTCTGAATGTAAATCCTTGGATGATGTTGCAAGAGTCAGAGGCTTCACCAAACCGATGTCAGTGTATTTTGTTAAGCATAATGCAGTTACTATATACAGTGTGTTTATCAGATAATGCCAACTAACAATACACTAAATTAACGGTTGTTAAACAAAAAATGTGTTAAAACAACCTACTTATAAAAACAGATGGCAACCCCACAATTATGCATAGTTACATATGATGAAGTCCAGCTCTCTGGAGTCCAATAGACTGACACCTTCAAGCATGAGGAAGCAGTTTTCTGAAGCGTAAACAATGTAATTAACAGAACCCAGTCAAGCTGTAAGGGAATTACACTGTCAAAAATATCTCAGGTCCAATCACAAAACTCTCTCTAAATGTTACCACCACATAGCTGCAATTGGGCAGTCACCCATTCAAAGGTTTTACACTGCCATATTTCTTCAAAGGACCTTCTAAAGGATGTGCTATTTAACATGGTGATCTACATAAACAAAATATGTGACGAACACAAAGCACTTAGGTTTAGAAGCACTTATGACAGAATCCATGACATCTTTACAGTGTATCGTGTATGACTACACACACTTTTAAGTTTCTCCTGCTTATTATTATGTGGCATCTTACTGTCCATAGTATTTCTACATACTAAGAAGAAAGAGCCTTCTCCCCAAGAAACCAGCTTCTCTGATATGGGAAGCCACCATGCCCGTATCTTGCTTTGCTACAGTAAGGCATGTACAATGAAGGTGACAATGTCAAATCCCCATGGATCATGACAAAACCACCTAGTTCTTCCCTTTGCTTCTTCCTCAGCTTCTCTGCTCCATTACCACTGTGAATGTCAGTCGGCATCCATGTGTTCTTGTCTAGTAAGTAGAGGTTTCTCATCTGCATCACCAATCTTTTTCCGCATCTCTTCCACTGCTTTCAGCAAAGCTTCTCGCTCCTGCTCAAGAGTGACAATGGACTGCTTCAATTTGCCTTCATTGGTCAGTAAAAGCTCTACTGTGGCTTCAAGGTTTTGGATCTTTCCATTAGCCACCTTTCAAAGTAAGAGGAAAGGTGGAGGGGGAGGAGGGATGGGAAGGAAGAAAAAAAAAAGGAAATTTTTAAATAACTGAAACCAACTTTAAACTATTTTTTGAGATACATTATATATAAAGTACTTTCCAAATGATGAAAAATTGCAAAAGTAAATGCAACTATGAATATTATTAGATCTGTGTACTTTAGATTACAAGTATGCTTTTGCCTATAAGAAGAAACTTCCCTCTCTCAATTTGATTGCTTTGATTAGTTCACAATTAAACTTGGAATATAATGCAAAGTAATGAAATTAGGAAGTTATTAAGTCTTATAAACCAAAGAGCTGCAGGTTAAGATAAGCCTCTGTATGGGTCACAGTTGGGAGACATTTTTGGCCAGCCATATTTGTTGAATTCCATGTGCTCTGCAAAGACAACCAAATCTGTCAGCTGCATCCTCATTTCATCTTGACATTGAGTCCAACAAATGTCAGATTTGGAGGCAAAGGGGGAGGAGGGAATTTAGTGTAATATGCAAATAGACAATACATCTTGAAAAATTAAAAAAATTCTCCTTCAAAAGGCTGCACGTATAGGCATTCCACTTCATGATGAAACAAAGTATTAGATAATTCAAACTCATCACATGAGATCTGTAGCTGAGGTACTCTGACAAAAGCAGAGATCTGTTTGGAAGTTTCAGCACTGGATAACATTTGTTGATGAGCACTGGATAGTGTTGGCTTTCAGGGAAGTATCTGCCTTTTTGACAAGCTCACCGCCCTTCATGTAATTATGGTGAGTTAAAAAGTTCAGCCTTTGGGGGAAAGATATTGACAAATCATGATCCACATTGTTTGGTCATGCATTTTCCTCCCATCAGCACTGGGTGACCTTTCACCATAGCAAATGAAGGCTGATGAAGCCCACCTCCAAGAAAAAGGGATTGCTCCAACACTACAGACAGTTAAGTTCCCCACTATAATGTTAGGTGTTGACTTGCCAGCACTTCAGCAGAGATAAACTTAGTAAACGACTGCTTAGGACTGCAAAGTTTTTAGGGGCAGAAAGCGGTGGAAGATCCCCTGATACAGGTATCCATAGGACATTATATCTTGAATCTCATCCCAGAAATTCATCTCCCTCATGCTACATCCAACAATTTCCTTGCCCATGTGCTTGAAGCTTTATGAAAATATCTTGCAGAGGAGTATCTATTCTTCTGACTTCTCTAAGGCTCATCTTAGAACCTGAAACGGACTCAGAATTTACAGCTTAAGCAAATTTTTGTTAGGAGAGGCAATCTAAGTCTGCATGGTTGGCTAGCTTTAGTCATGATACAGGACCAATGGCTGAGAAACCTGAACTCCTTCCCTCACCTATTATCTTACAAAATCTATGTCTTTAACAATAATCAAGAGGCTTGAAATGTCTGCTGTTTACCCTTGAAGTCGCTTTCTCAATCAAACTAAATGCATAGTCAAAAGTTTTAAAACAAATGTCCTGTTATAAAGCAGCCAGAAAGCTGATTTCTTGAGCAGTTAAACAAAGAATAATCCCTACAGAAGCTATGTGTACTGCCTCTGAAAGAGCTGCAGGCTGAACAGGCACTGAGCATATATTGGAATTATTATTTCACATATTGTCTAAACAATTTGGATAATAGTTTAAAAAAAAAATCTTGTAAAAAAGAGTATGTCTTTATAGACAATGTATCCGATGTATCTTTAAATTGTGACACTGGCATTAGCTTTCCCATTTGTACTACAGTAGTATCCCTGCCGTAATAAAGCAGTGACTGAAAACGTAAAAATGAAGTTGAGAAAGCACTTAGTGTATTTTTAGTCATCTTCTACAGCTATGATTTTAATTACAAGAGAAAAGATAGTGTAATGAATCAACTTTTCACTAACTGCAAGCATATGCTCTATCTACCCCCCTCTCAGAAATTCTTTTTGCATTTAAATATTAAAGGCTAAACTAAGTAAAATTGCAAGTGGTTACACTTGAAAGTCACTGTGCCTTGATGTAGGATGGTCTTTTCTGAAAAGGTGCATAAATTAGAATGTTAATTAAATACAAAGTATAAATTGTACCTGCAGTTCTTCCAGGAGACCGAAGTTTTGTTTGCGCAAGCTACTGTTTGCCTTTTCTAATTTATCCAGTCTCTGATTATCATTTAAAGATGAGTCGATAAGCTCATCCTGAAGCACATGGTATTCAACTTCATAAGCTTGCAATTGCTTGGCAATATCCATTTCAAAGACCTGTTGTATATAAAAATATTGTTAGGAGCTGTGCAGATCAAAACCATAGCTCAATTCAATGCTTTAAAAACTATGGATCTAGACTTAGATATCTAATCACTGCATTAAAAAATGGACTTAATTTTTAGCATTCACACTTCCTACTCTGGAAATGGCAAGACTGAGGCAGCAGAGTGCAATACATTGGCATTGGACCTACTTAAAAACTGCTACTGATTTGCTGCCTGACTTAAAACCACTTACACTAAAGTTTTCAAGAACTTTTCAAGACTTTGTAGGGTATTCCTCTTTTTAGATTTCAAATTTAATGCATCTCAATTTGGTATAAACCATCCTAAACATACTCAGAACGTACATCGCTTTAGAAAAGTGTGATCCAAGCCCAGGTGCCACATGTGCAAGTGCAAGGCTAAGTAGAATGAAAGCTTTAAATGAAAAATAGTAAACATAGCTACGTTTATTTATGATTCTACAGTATCCTACAGACTGAAAGAAAACGAAATAATCTATCCTTACCCTAATACACTTAATGGAAACATTATGTCATGTCAAAGCAGATTTCTATTATTGTTAACTATGAATCACCAAAATGAGTACTCAGTCTCATACATGAATATTAAGGAAAACTTACATTTTAAAAGCAGATAAATTAGGTGCACTAAGTGATCCAAAGTAAAAAGCTACTATTGTATTTTCCTTTTTCTAGGTTTTGACAAATATCTGCCTTCAAATTATTCAGGAAATATGACTCTAATGTCTCTGAGCTAGTTATTTCCTCTGAAAGCAGTGAAAAAGGTGGTAAATTCACAGGACAAGTATGTCAATCACAGAACACAGTAGAAACAAAAGCTGATTTAAAAATACATCTGCAAAATAGCTCAAGAATAGAAGTTCAAGGGTTATTCTTTATTTTTAAACTTCTTGTACTTTATTCCTTTTGGAAATGAGTCAAATCCTATCATTTTTAAATACCTTCTGAAATAACAATAATTATTTCCTTTTTTATTTACTTGCTTTGTCTACAAAACTTTAACTGTTGGTTATAGTTAAAGAAAACATCAGTCTATGAGATGTTTCTGACACCCGTTACATATGCTATAAAAAATTATCTCATAGCTCTATAGCAGTAGAAACACACATACTGAGCATCTAAGCACAGAAGGCTGAAATACAGTTTTAATTTCAGTTTAGTTACACATATGGAACTTTCATTTTCTGTACATCTGAGCACCTCTGGAGAACACACACTTGAAATTTCAGCTAAAAAAACTGGTGCAATTAATCAGGGCAGAATGCCAGCTCCTCTCGTGACCTCTGCCATTTCTAGCCTCCATGCTCTTGAGAAGGGAGGGAAATCCCTGCTGTCATACCCAGAGTATCAAATCTGAAAGGGGGGAAACATGAGGCAAATCAAAAGCTTGACTTGCAACCTAGCTAACTGAAGGGTTGTTAGGGCATGTAAACCAAAGGCCATGCTGCAGAAGGCGTGAGGAGGATGGGGGTTAGCCCAGGAGCTGTGTGTGGACTGCAGGGCTGGTCAAAAAGGCCTCTTCAAAAGCAGCCCTGATCAAAGCAGAGGAACTGCTCTCCCTTCAATTCACTTCTGCCTGCTGCCCTTTAAATTTGAAGCAGTCAGAGCTGCCTAAACAGAGTATTTCTCCTTCCTTCTGCTCAAAGCAGGTCGCCTAAGCACTGCAAGTCTGCAGAGCTGTGCACTCCAGGCTTTCAGCCTGCCAGATCATATATAATCCCCTTTGCCCCCTAGAAATCGCTCGCTCTCCTTCCCTTTGCACAGGCTTTCTAGTTCTCCCCTCCTTCTTTGCTGGTAAGCACTAGAAGCAGTTTTTCTGATCCTAATGTGAGCGCGTGTCCCCTGGGAGCTTTCCTGCCAGGGGTCAGGAGGGAGCCCCTCGCAAGCACTCTGCAGAGTACTGCGCTGCCGCCTGCTTTCTTTAGCAAGCCACAGGCTTTGTAGATCTCCTGCAGCCGTTGGTGAGTGGCTGGCACTTGCAGTTCTACACAGTATACCCCCCGTGTTTTGGACCACAAAAGGCCTTCAGAAAAACAGGCTAAAACCCATCTTCTGACTGCCTGCTGCAAATTAGATGCCAAGTGTAACAGTTATGGTTTCTCAACAGGCAAGCTTTAACTGCAATAATTTGGGATTTCTTCAAATTCCACAGTTATTGTTGGGAGCCTTCTGCTAGCTCAGCAATATTGCATCATTTTCCTTGTCTGCCATTTAAAAAAAGCATAACAAGGATTCCCAGTTTTTGCTGTCTAGAGTCACTGCTCACTGCAAGAAACTGCACTGCCCCATGTACTGGCAGAAATACAAAGGCACTGTAGTAACGTCCTGAACTAGCACCATAATAGCCAGTATAGACAAAAATCAACATAGTATGGTCTCTAATTTCATCAAGTAAGGTCAACATTTGTGAGGCTCTTGTAAGTTAATTTTTTGTTCTGAAATGAGACTTGGAGAGCAAGATTCTTCGGAGACAGGAAAACTCAGAAGGCTTTTAGCCCACCTTGCTGCTTTTTTGTGGAACGCACTGTGTATGGGCTGCAATATTGCTGCCAGTAACAGTGTCGCACACTTCAAAAACAAAAAAGTAAACTCATTTTCATTATAGGCTTCATAAAGTGACCATAACCAACATGTAAATGTATGAATGCACAAGTACTATAGAAGTCATATGCTTACAAAAGTTTTCAACATCTTTAGAACTACAATAACAGAATTCTCAGCTTGAAATAACACAATACACTGTTGTGGTTCTTCTGTCAAGCACTTGTTAAAAAAAGCATTCCTCTGCATACTACTCATATGTTCAGATTATTTCATACCTGACTAATGGTCTTTTCCATCTGTACCAAGCCCAAGTTGGGGAGAGTGCTTTTAATAAAATCAACAATAGTTTCTAGGTTCTCATGCTGCAGAATCAAGGGCTTGTGGCTTCCCAAAAGGCTTAAAGCCACTTTAAATATAGCCTCTGATCCCTGAAGAAAGAGCATATCTGTGAAAACAAAGAAAAAACAGAGTACATCAAGTAAGCACATCTTTTAACAAGAATATTAGAACAGTAAAATGCCCAAGGACAACAAGTTCTCATAGGATTGATCTGGAGGCTAGATATGCTGTGCCAGACATGTGCTTTTGTTACTGTGGCTCTGGCTTTAGAAGTTCCGTAGGACGAAGAGTATTACTGTGAATAGCACACTTGACTAACACAATCAATTATTAATTTGTTTAGTGAGTTTTCATCCAAAAAATCAAATTCAAATTTAAGCTAAATATGCAATAAACCAGGAGGTCAATTTTGTCAGTGTTGCCAGTTTTTGTGCATGTAATAGTTTTGTGGGATTTTTTTTTTTTATATTTCATGGGAATCTGAATTTGAATAAAATTCTAATCCCAATGCCATTTAAAAATCCTAATACAACAGGCAAAAACTCCACCTGAAGACACAACCAAAGATCTGAAGTTTTGTTCTTTTCTCAGCTACAAAGTCTCAGTTAATACAACACCGAGCACATGAGGCTGAATGAGCACTTTCCAGCAGCCTCAAGTTTCATGTGCATGTGCTTATTTTTAGTATGTGCCTCAACCACTTATGTTAATATTCTAATAACTACATTAATAAGTACTCTGAAATCTAATACAGCTTAAGCGTTAATATTGCAGGTGGCCCTGAAATGACAGCCCTGGCATACATTCAAGCACACTGAAGCCGCAGTATATAGTGACCTTTCAATGCAACTTCCTTCCTTTTCTTTTCCTTTACAAACTGCCTATGTCTTTATTGAGGAAAGAAAAAGAAGACTGTGATGAAAGCATCAGACGAGAAACCCATCTTCACAAACTCATCTGTCCACAGTATAAACAGCATTGCCCTGCATTTGACTTTCCTGCTTCCGTAACACAGAATCTGCTCCTGGTTTTACTGTGGGAATCGCTACAGGCAAAAGCATCTAACATATGAAACAATATTGACAGAGGTGGGAAAGGAAGAGAAGATACTGCAGTTTTATTCCATATTTCCTAAATATATATATATACATACATATACTTTAAAGGGCTTCTCTCTTGTTATTTCCCTTTGTATTTAGAGCTGTGAATGAAGTCACAATAACTTACGAAGTAGCTCAACGACACCAAATAAACAGTATGACAACAATAAAAAAAAGGAAGAAGAGTAAAGAGAGAGAGAAAGGAAAAAACCACCACACAGTACGGGGAAACAACTACTAGCAAAACCACAAATATCTCTGATGTAGTAAAGAACATATGAAAACACTGACTACTAACTGCCTTTTTTAGTAAAAGCAACCTCTCTCCAAATTTGTATCAAAAGGAAATTCCCCCTTGCACTCTTTTGCCTGTAATGCTGAAGCCATACCATATTTCACTTCTCTTTCCGTTTCTCTGAGAAAGAAAAGCACAAATAATAACTAACCATAAATCTTGTACTTTGCTGTCATTTGTCCTAAAAGTGGTGTAAAATTTTTCAACTCCAATTCAATGTGAAGTTCAAGGGCAGGAATGATTGAAAAGTGGTAACAGAGCAGGCATCTGCCTCAATTCTATATTGAAACGGAAAACTATGGGAAAATGCTTTATAGAGAAAGCTCTATATTAGGACTGGGAATGCAGAAGAACAGCTAGGAAACACAAAGTGAAAAAAACAGCTGAAAATAATGCATATTTATGATTCAGCACCTGCCCCATAAAGACACATAGATTAACTCAAGGTGACTTGTAAGTTGTTAATGAATGTCTGTATGAGATGAGCTGGTGATATACAGCTGAAATCTCTCTCTCATTTAAAATAGCAAGTACTTAACAAAGACCAGTTTGTTATCCACTCCCCACGCTTCCCGTTAAGTGGGCTGCCAGCCAATGACAGTACAGTGAAGGTACCCAAATTCATGTTAGCATGACTGGCAGCCTACAGCATTAAAAAAATCATGTTTTATCTACAATCTTGAAACAAAATAAACACTATACTACCAAGTCTCCCCCATTAATAAGTAAATACGGTATTAAAGAAAACATCTTTGATAATGCTATACTTTCATTAGATCCTGCTCAGAAGTGTTGACAGTTTGGGCAGATAATTTAAAAGTTAAGAGGAATTTTGCTATTTGACTCATAAAACAGTCTTTGGGTTAACCTCTTTGTAGCCACTTCTTTTACATATTGCTTATAAGATGCTTGCAAAAAGTACACTCTGTGGAAATCTAAAGGAAGCGATCTGTAACAATTATATTATTAAATAGCAGTGGGGCTTCAAATATCAAGGATTCAGAGATTTCAGAAAATGGCAGTGCAATCTTACAGTCTTAACCTATAGATGAGTTACTTCAATATTAAAAGAATGTTTTTCATCTCAAGGGTTCTAACAAGTGAGCAATGAAAATGCATGTACGTTTGGTGTAAGTGTGTCAACATATGGCTCAGGACTGACTGGATCCTAACTTGCCATGCTGCTAGCACAGTGACAACTCTATTTTTATTTTTTTTTTTAGGTTTATAGGTGTGTTTCAGAGTCTTCAGCACAGGTGAAGATGAGATTTTACTTTCTAATGTAAAAGAAAGTCCAATATTCTCGACTTACATAGTTCCAGTAAATACTATTTTAAGGAATTTACTAAATACATTAACATTAAAAACTGACAGTGTTAGTCACACTGGACTTTCTCTCTAAAAAGCATCAAAGATTTTGAAGAACTGACAGTTTCAGCCACACGTGCTTTTCTGTTCTTGACCTAAAATCAGTCCTGTGAAGATCATGTATCTATGTTTATATTCTAATGTAAAATCTTTGCTTTCTAAAGCCTTACAACCCTCCAAAGACAGAAAAAATACTATTCTGTGTATTAAGGCAGAAACCCAAATGTACTGGATACATAAGGCTAATTCATACCCTCACTGCAGTCAACTGTCCAGTTCGAAGACTCTTCTTATCATGTACAATACTATGAATAATTAAGAATAACTGAAAGGTTAACTGATTATAAACTCGGTATATGACACTCACATACAATTCATTTAATTCGTACAGATTACCACTGTCAGCTCGATATTTGTTGATGTACGTTAGCCTACTTTGAACTGTTTCAGGGAAAAATAAAATGCTGTTTCCCCTGAAATTAAGATGCTAATCACAAGACATATAGTTCTACTTAGCTATACACCACCCTTTACACCATGATTTCTTCTAGCACTGTTTTTGGCATGTCCTTAAACAGAAACAGGACAGGATTCCTGTTGATTCTTCTTGGCATCTATATTCATTATTTGTTATTGTGGTAGATGACACTATAATTTTTTAAGTCAGGAAAGTGTCAATATTAATACCCTAATAACTAACTGGTTCACTACATCTCTTAAGTGAGACTGACTACAGAAAATAAAAATAGCTTCTCATCAGAAGAGGGGAATTGGGGAGAAAGCTCCAAACCACCCTGCTCCTTGTGGATGATCCAGTACCATGATTAAACTGCAAGGGCCATCTCTGTGTGTGTTTTAAAAACACAACCCTCAAAATAATTTTCCACTGACACTGTTGGAGACAATGATAATGGAGTAACTGGATATATTTCTCAGATTATGCCTTTGTTACATCTCTTTTCAGCTTGAAACTAACATTGTCGGTGTTGAAGTGCCACTGTCCTAACACCGTGCCTTCACGGCATCAGATTTTACATCCTCTCTACAAGTGGTTACAGGGTGGGAAAAGGTAACAACGATGAAAAGACAGGACAGTTTGGAACTGTCATATGCTGTCCTCCTCTCTCTTTCCATTTTACTGGAAATACTGCATGCTCCATAAGATGACCTCTGTTGTTGTTCTTCTATTCATCAGTAGGAAAATATTTCTCCTCTGTTGTCTGAAACAGGTTGGATAATAATACTCTTCCTTATAATAGGAGTCCAAATACAACACTTCAAAAAGAACAGATAGAAGTTTTATGAAGAATTACCAAACACTCTGGCTACAAATCCAAGGGGAAACTGGGAGGCAAACATAGTGAGAAACCAGGGAGCAGCATAGAGGCTGGGGCCAATCTCATGTTCCTCTAGGTGGTTATAGAGATCTCGATGGTAGTCATGAAGAAGTCGAGACAGTTGATACATCTGGATCTGCATGGAATAAGAACAAAGAAACTAAAGATACACATGTTTTAACACTCAGAGTAGCAAAGTACATGCTTCACGCTCTTATTAGAAACAGTGAAAGATATTTGTCAATTGATGTTTGGATGGAATTGTGTGAAGAAAAATAAATACTCAGAAGTGATCTGAAAGACCCAGGATATGTCACCTGTGAGCCTACGACAGGGTCATTTGCAGGGTCATTTGAACCTCATACAACACATAACAGAACTCTTCCTATTTATAGTTTTCATAGTTTCCCCAGTAATCTTTTTATTTGAAACTAGTGCATTTAAGATGATGTATCCTTTTCCCAGGTTATCCTTCCCCATTTTTGAGAAGTGAATTTAAATTCAAGTCCAGCTTTTGACAATGCTATCTATATTGCATTATTATGATTTAACATTAGCAAACTTTTATTAGAAAAATTTAAATCATACCTGTAAAATTGTCATGTCAGGACGATATTGTTTTCTCAGGCCCATGTCAAACATGAGAAACTTTAGCATTTTAAAAGCATCTTCCTCACTCATATGAAGTAGTAAAACTCCTGCTACAAAACTAAGGCCTTGACAATATCCTACTTCCTGGTCCAGAAGTGAATAGGCCTTCAAAATATTGTAGAGTGACAGCTGCCCAGCTCCCAGCTGTGCTGAGAAATATGGATGTGTTGGAAATGTGCGCCCTGTGAAAACAGATGAAGTTAGTGAATTAAACTGAAAACCAAAACAAAACCTTTGCCATGTTATCAAATTAAACAGTCTTTCAAAAAGCTAGATTATTTTGAAATGTAAATTCTGAGTCAACCCACAGGAAGATGATAAGAAAGTTAATAATACAAAACAATTGTTTCAGTCCTCTTTCCTTGATTAAAAAGTGTTAGCTTATACAGAGAACTATTAGGATTCAGGCATAGACTTAGAACATCTGAGTTGTCTGGGTTG